CTTGTAGGTTAAGGACTTTTTGTCCCTTGCTGCTTTCATGATTCCTTCCTTGCCTGAGTGTTTTGTGGATTTGACTATGATATACCTTGTTGATGGTTGGTTTTCGTTGAATCTAATTGGAGTCCTCTGTGCTTCCTGAATTTTGATGTCTGTGTCTTTCCCAGGTTAGGAAAGTTTTCTTCTATGATTTGTTCACATACACTCTTCTACCCAAGTTTCTCTCTCTTCATCTTCTGGGACCCCTATGATTCTGATGTTGTTCCTTTTTAGTGAGTCACTGATTTCTCTAATTCTTAAATTGTACCCTTTTGCCTTAGTCTCTCTCTATTTTTCTGCTTCATTGTTCTCCATAAGTTTCTCCTCTATATTGCTGGTTTGCTGCTCTGCTTCATCCATCCTTGCTGCCGTGGCACGCATTGGAGATTGCAGCTCAGTTATAGCATTTTTTCATTATTCCTGACTAGATTTACTTCTTTTATCTGCGCAGAAAGGAATTCTAATCTATTTTCGACTCCAGCTATTATTATTATCGTGATTCTAAATTCTTGTTCTGACATCTTGCTTGTATCTGCGTTGGTTAAGTCCCTGGCTGTCATTTCTTCCTGCTCTTTCTGTTGGGGTGAATTCCTTCATTGTCATTTTGAAGCTAGAAAAGAAATTAATGAGGTAAACAAAATTTAAAATTAAAAAAATTAAATTAAAACAAATTAAAAACAACACACACGCATGCATAAAAATCAAATAAATGATGCAAGATCTAGGTGTGTTTTGGTCTGGGTATTGAAAGGGGCTTGATAGATTAGAGAGAAAAAAGGGAAAAAGAAAAAAAGGGAAACGTTTGAAAATTTGAGAAAATGAAAACAATGAAATAGAAAAAAATGAAATGATAAAAGTAAAATAGAATTTGAAAAATTTATACAAAACTAAAAAATATAGTTGACAAAATTAAAGAAAAATATTTTTAATAAAATTGAAAATAAAAAGAAAATTTTTCTCTTCCTATATTCAAGAAAAAGACAAAAAGAAAAGAAAATTGAATAGATGGACCAGCAAACAGACTGTAATACGATTGAAATTACATCGTTTTCCCCTAGAAGTCCAACTATGAAGCACTTTATAGTTTGTAAACTAAGCAGGTGGAGAGACTTGTGGTTCCTGAAGAGTGAGGTTGACCCAGTTGGGTGGGGCTTGGTGTAATGGCTCTGTTCTCCACTAGGTGGCGCCGCTTAGCTTACTGGTGTGGATTGTTGTGGCGCTTGTAGGTGTGTATGCGCATGCACAGCAGGGGTGAAAATGGCATCACCCAGGTACCCAGTCTCTAGTATCAGAACTCTTTTCTCCCCAGTCAGCAATCGTGCACCCTTCCTTTGTCTCTGGCTTCCATCTGCTCTTGCTTTTACACTGTCCGTGACCAAGCCATCAGGCTGCAGGTGGCTCCTCCCTCCTGAGTTTTACCTCAGATGCAGCTGTTTTTTCCTGACCCCTTACTTCTGACAGACTGTGGCCTTGTCCTGCTCAGACTTTGTGTGGGAGGAACTCATTGAGCACTGGCCGGGTGCTGGCCACACCCAGGAACATTCTCGGGACCATGCTGCTGCTGATGCCCAGAGACTCTGACTGGGTGCCAACCTGCCCCAGAAAATGTTCACGTGATTGTGTAGCAGCAGCCGTTCAGGGATTATGGAAAATCACAGCACACACCCAGCACCAGGCTTCACCCTTATAGACCTTGTTCTAGCACCAAGAATGTGGTTGTTCTCTGGGGTCTGCTGGGACCTCTGGGGTCTGCTGGGTTGGCCACACGGACTCTACCAAATATTCTCCCAGCAGGGGAACCCCCTCTCCTTGTGTGGCATGGGGACTTCACTCTGCTCCTCAGGATTCACCCATCCCACCAGAGTACCCAGGTATTGAGCTGCAGAGTTTCACACCATGCCCCTGTTGTTTATAGAGTCTCAGTGAGATGTAAACCCTCTCCTTTCTCCTTTCTGCCTTTTTTGTTCAGTCCCTGCAGCTGTTTCCCCTTTTCCAGTTTCTCTCCAGTCATTTGGGGGGTGGGTGGTTCTTCTCCTGTACTATCCACACATCTCTGTCCTCTCTCTGCAAGCAAAAATGGCGCCCTACCCTCCAAGGCTTCTCTCTCCCCCAGTTTACCCCTCCGAGCCATGTACCTGTTGAGTTGTGTGGTCCAGGTTGTGCAGATTGTTGTGTTAATCCTCAAGTAAGATTTCTAGGTGTGCAGGATGGTTTAGTGATGATCTGGCTGTATTTCATGGATGTGAGACACAAAAAAGCTTCCATGCTGTTCCACCATGTTGGATCCTCCTCTGTTTCCCTCTTTTTTTGTGCTTCATGAGTTTCCATAATTTTATCTTCTGTATCCCTGATTCACTGTTCTGCTTCATCCATCCTCACCATCATAGCATCCGTTTGAAATTGCATCTCAGTTACAGCATTTTTCATTTTGAACTGACTAGATATTAGTTATTTTATCTCTGCAGAAAGGGATTCTCTGGTGTCTTCTCTGCTTTCTTCAACCCTAGCTGAATCGTGGTTTTAAATTGTAACTCAGATTTCTTACTTATGTCTGTGTTGATTAAATCCCTGCGTGTCCTTTCTTCTATCTTTTGGGGTGAATTCGTCCATCTTGTCATTTTGGAGGAAGAAAAAAAGTAATAAAATAAACAATAAAAATTTGAAAATTAAAAACAAAAGAAAAAATCAAATAAAGGAAGCTAGATTCCTAGTGTGTTTTGATCAGCTTGTTGAGAGAATCTTGATAGAAAAGGGAAAAAAAGTTAAAATTTTGTTTAAATTTAAATAATAAGATAGAATAAAGTAGAATAGAATAGAATAAAAAAATTTGCTCTTTCTGTATTCAAGAAAGACAACGTAAAGAATGATAAAAGAAAATAACATAAAGTAAAACAGAAGCAGACACAAAAACAGATAAAGAAGGAAACAAAATGAAACCCAAGTGAAGCTAGATCCGGTTTCCCTTAGAACTGAAACTTTGAAGCACACCGTACTGTGTAGAGTAAGTGGGTGGAAAGGATGTGTGCTGGCCTTCTAGGGGATATGCCTGGAGGGCGCAGGTGGGTAATGGTTCGTGTAACAGTTCCATTTTTCACTTGGTGGCCCTGCCTGGCTCACTGGACTGAATCAGTGTGAGTGTGCTGGAGGTGAAAATGGCTTCACCCTGCTCTCTTGTCTCTGGCGTGGGAATTTTGCACCATCACAGATGTGTGATCAAGCACAACTTCCTTTGTCTCAGGCCTCTGTCCACTCCCCACCTCTACCCTGTACATGCCCAAGCTGTCTGCCTGCCAGGTGGCACCTCCCTCCTTATCTCCAATGGGTCTGTTTTTCAAAACCCCACAACTCAGAGACCCCAGGTCTTGGAGCTGTGCTGATTTTATGGGGGAGGGTCTTGCAGAGCAATGGCCAGGGATCAACTTGTCCCAGAAAATGTTCGCCTGATAGTGAAGTGACAGAGGCTCAGAGTTTATGGTAAATCACAACACAGAACTGGCGCCAGGTTTTGCTGCAATCAGCTGTTATCTTTGGCCCAATATCAGTAAACATGGCAGCTCTCTGGGACCCGCTGGGACGTTTGCCCATGGGAGGCTGATTGCCACTACGATACGCACTCCAACCAGGGAAACTGCTTCTCCCCATATGGCACACGTCCCTCAGACCATGATGCCTTCTCTCAGGGATTGACTTTGCTTCCTCCCTGGAGCACCACCAGGCACTGAGCACTGAAACATCAGTTTCTGCACTAGACTGTTTACAGAAAACTGGAAGTACTGCAACCCTCTGCCTTTTTCCCATCAATGGTTTTGAGGAAGAGATTTCTTATCCAGTTCACTGTGAGTGGTTTCATTCTTTCTCACATTCTCTCCAGCTACTTTCAGGGGGAGTGCTTTTCTTGCATGACTCTAATGTGCGAAACTCCCCTTTTCTCTTTCTTTCTCTATCCTCTGTCTATAAAATCATCTCCCTACCCTCCACAGAACCTTGCCTTTTCTCACCCCCAATGCAGCTCTCCACACCATATTCCTTTTAGGTTCTCTGGCTCAAATTGTGCAGATTTTCATGTTAATCGTCAGATCAATTTCCTAGGTGTTCAAATGGTTTGATGCTGAACTAGCTGTGTTTCGGGGACAAGACAGGCTCAGGGTCCCCATACTACTCCACCATCTGAACTCCACTCTTGAGAGAGAGAATCCCAAGCAGACTCCACACCCAGAAAGTGCCCAAGGTGGGGCTTGATCTCACAAATGTGAGATCATGACCAGAGCTGAAATTAAATACAGACACTTAACCGACTGAGCCAACAAGGCACCCCTAGAGATCCGCATGAAAGAGAGCATACACACAATGCTGGCAAGTTGCTGTTGGCCATGGGCTGATTGCTGCACCAGGGATTCAGCCTGGAGGTGTTGGTTCTTCTCCATGTGAACTGCTTTTTCATGGCCGGTTGGGCTTCCTCACATATGGCAGCTAACTTCCAAGAATGTGCAACTCGAGAGACTACGGAAGGGGTGCAAAGTATCTTTATGACATAGTGCCACCACTCTCAGAGTCCCAGCATGCTCAGATTCACGAGAAGGGAATGTAGACGGCACCGCTTGCTGGAAGGAGTACAAGGTCACATAGAATGAAGGCCACATGGCATGGAAGATGTTGTTTCCACCATCTTTGAAAATACAATCTACTACACAAGATGAAGCAAATTAGTGACTCCAACTCTTTCTGTGTCCAGATATAGATGAATGTTCTCAAAGCCCCCAACCGTGTGGTGCCAACTCAGTCTGCAAAAACCTGCAGGGGAGATACAAGTGCAGCTGCTTGCCTGGTTTCTCTTCTCCCACTGGAAATGACTGGACCTCGGGAAAGCCGGGTCATTTCTCATGCACAGGTAATGCTCTCAGGCATGGGTCTTGGGTGGACAGCGACCACTGGTGGGCAGTGTCTCTCACCTGAGCCACAGTCTTTGGTCTGCTCACTCTCCTCCACTGCTCCTCAGACATCGATGAATGCCTCTCCGATGGGGTCTGCCCAGAGCATGCTGAGTGTATCAACTCCTTGGGAAGCTACAATTGCAGCTGCCAGGTTGGATTCATCTCTCACAACTCGATCTGTGAAGGTATAGAGGACCTGCTTTTCTTTATGTAGCTACTCAATTAATTAACAACCACCTCACTTGATGATTCTGTGAGGTTAGAGACTATATTCTTCATTTTGGGGGTGAGAAAATTTAGGCTCAGACCGTTGAAGTGACTTCCCCCAAAAGACACAGCTATTAAGTAGAAGAGCCAGGATTGGAACTCCAGTCAAGGGTCTACTCTGAGTGCAGCAGT